AAGTAATTTTTTTCATTAAAAAAAATAAAAAATAAAAATTAACCGTTTCATTTTTTTTTTTTTTTTTTTTTTTTTTTTTTTTTAGAAAAATAATTGTTGAAAAACATTGGCGAGGACTTATAAATCGCCAGGTTGTTGATTATTTTAATGACCATGTATCTAAACAGTCTTCCCCAGAAGACTTAGTACCAGTTATTTCGACACCAAAATATCAATTGGTTCACGTCTATCGCTCTAAATTAACGTTTTTAAGTCCTGTCTCTAGCGAAGGTGACTATGAACGCCCCTTTGTATTATACAATTTTTCAACAATTTGATTTTAATAAAATTTGTATAATTATATTACAAATATAGTTGATGTTCTATTAGTGATTGAATTCCTTCACAGGATAGTAGATATATTAGCAGAATACTTTGGTGAAATGTCTGAGATCTCAATCAAAGATAATTTTGATGTCGTTTATCAGGTTATATTATAAAATAGATGTTGTATTTATAATATATTTATAACTAATAATCTGATTAATTCCTTTTTTAATACATAAATAAATTATTATCTTAATTTTCTTAATTTATAATAGCTTTTGGAGGAAATGATGGATTATGGTAATTCTATTATTTATATTGTTTCAGATGATTCTTTAATGAGTGAATAAAAAGGATTGAATTATTTATAATAATGATTTTGATGTTATATTATGTTATTTTATCTTTTGTTAATTGTATAAATATTATTACTTTCTAGGATATCCATTAACTACCGAACCTAATGCTTTGAAGGAAATGATTATACCTCCTAGTTCTATGAACACCATAATGCCATCTACCAAGCCATCTTCATCGCGTTGTGCTATAAGTGGAGAAAGCACCTTTGGTGCATTCAAATTATAAAATCACTTCGTCAAGCTCCAAGTATAACCATCGGCCTTTTATTTCATTAATGCATATATATTTCTATATATAAGCTCTGCATATTTAGTGATAGTGAATATGTAGAATAATTGTACCTCTAACATCTGTGGCATCAATTCAGCAAAGGAGTTTCTGCTTTGTTGATCTGTTTCCAACATAAAAGCGACCGCAGCTTTTAATGCAGCCATACGTATCTAAACAAAAGTACTTTACATTATTTTGCGTCAAATATTTAAAATAGATAATAATTTTCTTTATAATTATAAAGTACATACAGCCGCGTTATTGGTATCTTGTAAGTTAGCTGAGAATACTTGCTTAACTTCATTTATTTGTATATCAGTTAAAAGATTAGGGACCGCAGAAAATATACGTAAAGCAGCTTCGCGATGTTCTGCAGAAGGTGTTTTGCTTGCTTCAATAAGTGCGGTAAGTAGTTCGCTCCACTTTTCTACATGATAAAGCAAGACATAAAATAATATTAAAATCCATCCTTAATGAAATTCTTAAATAAACTAGGTCAAACATTAATAAATACTTACGTCCTTTAAGAAATGAATTTTTAGCTACCTCGGAGATAGCATCGCAAACTTTATGACGCACTGTATTTTCTTGTTCTACTGATAAAGATATTAATAATTCATTTTTGATAGCTTGCCTACTTTGTTCTTGAAGAAGGTCCCAAATAGTTAATTCATCAAGTTTTGAGGCTTGATTTGGTGCTTTGAATGCTAGTCTCCGTAACAATACAAATGAAAATGAACGGTACTATAAACCAACAATCAAAAATGATGAAGCGTATAAACCATCTTAATAATCTTAGTATTTTTTTCTCAAATTTATCACATCAATAAACCTTTAAGCGGATCCTTACGTGAGTTTCTTTATGTGTTCTTCCAAGCTGTGCCAACGAGAGTAGCAGTAAGTCCGGTTGTTGTGCGATCCACTGTTCATTCAATTGTTTCTCTGCACTTGAACGAAGATTGTTGTCGTTGGAACCCAAGTTTGACAAAACCTGGTTCAGTTGAGAAACAACCTCTGGTGAAACTAAAGGAGAAACCGTGGTTGTCATATCCGAAAATTTCTAAGCATGTAGTAAAATTCCGAAATAACCGATTTTAAAGAGAACAGAAAAATCCTCAGCACACGTAAAACAAACTGATCTAAAAAATAATCGCGTAGGCCTACTTGATGCAAACCTTACAAAATCGTTCGTCTTTCAGGTGAACAGTATGGATGACCGACCAAAAGAAACTTTTTAATTCTCAAAAAAGATTTTTTTTTGGAAAAAAAAATTTATCGTCATTCTATGTAATACAATGTGTGACAGTAATTGCGATTCACGTGACATTTACATAAGTTCGGTTGTCACATGAATAATTGTCGACTGTGTATCGTGTAACATGATCTGTGATCGATTGTTCATTTTTTTTTCAATGTTGCACTCTTAGTTGCACCCCACAAAAGAGATGTGATTAATAAAAATTTAAATTTTATCGATTCTCTTGTTATTTGCAAAATGATAGACAGTCTTTTCGTTTTAAATACTGCTGGGTAAGGAATGTTCTCTTTTAAGAAAAAAAAAAAATATGTATATACCGTTACATTTTTTTTTTTTTTTTTTTTTTTTTTTTT